CTTTCTATATTGGTATGACATGGTCTGTCAACAAATTACAATACAAACAGTAAAAGTGTAAATGTGAATCTTGTCCAGTCTCTTGCAATCAAACTCCCACATACACCAAGGTGTAACCTACAATTTGCAATAATTGTCATCGAAACTGTAGCCATAGTTTTCATCAGAACCTCCCTCCAAAGTACACAGTTATATTGACAACATGACTAAGCAATTTGACTGTCTTATCCGTACACAATGACACAAGGCCTTGTCATTCTGATGGCACTGACATGTTCATTGACATAAAAACTTAGCTTTGAGAGATGAACTAAAGATTTTCAGCAAGTTACAGGCTTTTGCAGGAAATCCATAGTGTTGTGCTGTTTGTACAAATTGTTTTGAGACATGCACATACTTAATTGCAAATTTCAATTTTGATCTGAGAAGTGTACCAAAGTGACTGAGAAAAACTGTAAGCAAGCTTGTGGCTCAAACTATTTCATTGTTGATGGTCTATAGATGGCAGTGTTGCACAGATGAAGGCTGTCTAAGACACGTGTTACCAAGCATTAATTTCATTTGCTACCAGTTTTCGTAACTGTTTCATTTTTTGTCAAATATGTTACACTTTGGCACTCCAAACAAGAGAAAATATTTAGAGTTCATTTTTTCACAAAAAATATAGAATAGAAAAAATGTCAGCTTTCAAATATTTGATGCACTTGCTCTGAGCATCTGTTGTTCACATTCACTATATTAGTTAGCATTATGTAGTAATACTTGTATGAGGTCTGTCTTCGATGAGCAGAAAATTCTTACATCTTTCTGCAAAACACATAAAATAGTGCTGGGACACAGGAATCTGTGGAATGATAGGGTTGACTGCTGCAGAGGATGGATGATCACGAGTAAACCAGGCCAGAACAGTGAATGGTGGGGTGTGCCGGTTTTGTCTGTGTGTATGTTTGTGGTGAGACACTAGGCATGTGTTTCCCTATCTGTTTGTCTGTCTGTCTGATTGGGGGTGGTTACACATGTGTGGCTGCACATCGGTGAGTGTATAGTTCTAAGGTGTGAGCAATGTTGGATTAACAACAGGCCAAGGTGGGTCTGTAGTGTATTTAAAGTGTGAAGTGTATATGTGAATTTTGAGTGGGTGGGGGCCGCAGTGGGGCCCATAATAGGTTAATCCAGGTATTGATGTTAGGTGATGGGTAACTGAGTGTTACTTAATTCAGTATGATGTCAGGGCCAGCTGGCTTTCAGATTGGCTTGAGGCAGGGGGTCGATATCTGTGGACAGGCTGGAGTGCATCTGAGACACTCAGACCACATTGCTGAAGGATTTGTGATGGAAAAAAACTGAGCCTTTTGACACAAGTGGTTTTCATAGTGCTTTCAGGAAATGTCTGGCAGATGTAACATTTATGGGCCTTTTCACACTTGTTCCCTTTCAGCCCTGAAAACGAGTTCATAGTGATTAGTCAGCATTTTTTGCATAAATGTGAACACTCCAAACTAACTCAGACCCCTGTCAAATGAATCTAACTGAGACCTCCTTGTAATGTGATCTCCAGATTTTCTTCTGGTCTTTTGCATGTAAGGGCGGAAACACTAGCAATCTGTTGAAATATCTAGCGGAAGTCCATAATGGAGAGATGTTTTCCACTGACTAGCTCATAGTTTTTCTCCTTACACAGGTATGTTGTTTATGTAAGAAGCCTAGAGCCTGTGCACGAAGTTAACTACATTATACAAATATGGGTTAATGATTAAAAATAGCCAATAGCAAGCTGATTGTTATGGGTTTATTCATAAATTCAAGCTGCGATGGTGAAGGCATCATGTTCCTTGTCTTCCCACCAGTACCTACTCTGCATCTAGCTTGTCTCCC